TCTACAATACAAATCTTTTAACCTAAATGATACGGTACATGAAGAGCATGATACATCTTAATCTCCTATAGACCAGTTCCCTCGGGACATACCCACATAAAAATCCCCAGCAACTGCGAAAAGCTGGCTGAAACTCTGTTTTGAGTTGTCTGAAAGGCAGGTGCTTTCCCACACAGAGTGAGGTCATTCTATGGAAGATTCCTCATGATGACTTCAGTGCATTAACTTGCACAGGGGACCCATAAAATCCAGCGGCTGACCTCCAGGCTGCAGGGAGGAATTCGCTAATAAAGCCCAGCATCGGTAGCCGAGCCATCTGAGGGTTGTTGACTCTGTCAAAGCACTTCCAATATCAAACTTTCTATCCACTTGTACAATCTCGCCTAACCAAGGTAGTTTCCCACCCTGATCTCCCATCTTGAATCATTTTGTGAAGTGCTTTAGCGAGCGTTTCTAGCTAGTAAAAGTAACACCCACTGCAGGCTCTTTCAGTCTTTGCTAATTCTTATAAAGAAGACAAAATCCAGCAGCATTTCACTTGCTGAGCGCAATCTTCTCAGCTCCTCCTTTAGGATTTGGTGCTAAGAAAACAATCCCAATGGAACGCTTGAAAAGAAAAATGGCCCGAGGAGAGGAGAGAGAGCAAAGTACAATGATGTGTGTGTGAAGAGGGAGCTCTGTGGCTATTAGTAGCACAGTTCAGACGTAAAGTGAGAAGGACGTTTGAGGGTCTTTCTCTCCCTGGGACATAAGCCTACTTTTCAACCTTTACCATAATTATTCATTTTCTTGTACTGCTTCAATGTTCCCTCCATCTGCAGGTTTTTATCCCACCATTCTCTGCCTTTTTCCTGTCCTTCCATTTCATTTACTTTTGTTCATAATTTTTCCTTTCGGTATATAATTAGCGCTCTCTTTTAAAATATATCTCTAAAGCATTTTCAAAGCAGACCACACTAAGCGGTTAAATAATTCACTGTTTCCCTGTAAATCAAAACCATATGCTCTTCCTTAAAAATCTGTTTTGGTGTTGCTGATACACGCGAAAATCTACTAAACGAAAATCACTTTTCCCATCATCGAGAAATAATTAGCATTTTCCTTTCCCAAAATTTTCTTCAGTGTCAGTTTTATTGATCTTTACCCAATGTATTCTCAGTCCAACCCTTCAGCGTCAAGTGCAATGAGTCTCCAGAAAGTTATTAGGTTTCACTATGTTTCAGTTTGTGTATGTTATCTCATTACAAACGGTTATCTTATACTGTTCAACCCAATGGGGTCTTCTGACCTCTTATGTATGTCGAGACAACAATACACAGGTTAACACCAGCTTTTGTCAGTTAAGCTCTTCCTCTGTTTCACTTGTCAAGCAGATTCAGTCAAATATTGTTAATCGGTGCAATGTGAAAGTAGCATAGGCTACACTAGTCTGAAGTGCATTAAAGTAGCAAAACAAGATGACATCACTGAGTACTGCCCTTCATTCATCAAAGCTTTTCTCCCTCACAAGATTTAAGGCTTCTCTGGGCAAACTAAGAGAACTGACCATGATTTGCCCCGCAAATCCATCTGACAAATGTGAAAATACAAAAGGGATAAAGCGGTTTCAATTCTACAGGCTCCTCTGTGACCTAGATATAGCCAGGTGCTCCAAAAATAGCAGAAAACGAGAGCATTATATGAAAATATGACAGAGATATGGGCGAATAATTAGAGGAGTCCATGACCATAATGCTTTAGTTGGCTCGAGCAGACAAGCACAGCATGCCAATGCAGACTGAATATGACTTGATTGATGGGACATAACAAGTAGCAGGATGTAATAAGTTACAGTTCCCCTCGCTATAGATAGAATATAATAAGTTACAGTTCCCCTAGCTATAGATAGAATAGAATTTGAAGAAACAGTGTTTCCAGTGAAAAGTCAATCCGATCCGATCTGTTATCTACAGCGCGAAGGCAGAATCGATATAAAGTTGTCGGGGAAAGTGTCAAAAATAGAATAGGGAGACCGCGACCCAGGTTTCCAATCTATTATCGCCTATTTTGAGATGTTTACTTGTATTATTATTTGAATAGCTCACATAGTATAAGCGATACCGCACGCGCTTATGTTTACGATAAAAAGTGTCGTTGCGTATTCATGCGCTAGGGCCCAACAGATGAATGTCCCGTTTCAAATTACATTTTTATTAAGCAACGGGAGTAGCCTACTACACTCCGAAAATGAGCTCTAAAACTCGTCGGAGATCTGAGAAAACAACAACAAGCATTTCCAAACTGCTTCACGAAATGAAAAATGACTTACCCGAGCTGCAAAGAGAGGACGTATCGCAAGAAAAGGAGCAGCTAATTTACAAGTGTTCGCAACGAGCTGAAACGACAAATGGAGGGATGTTGCGTGTCCATTGCGCGAAGCGAAGGACTCATGAAGATGAACATTGTGCAACACCACACGATACTCACGTCCCCCCTTCTTCTTCTCTTCGCCCCCGTTTCTATCTGTCTCTTGCGCAGTTGTTTTACATCAAAAGCATGGTCGTACATTGTGTACCCAATAGCCACAACCCAAGTTCACCGATAAGGGGAGACGGAGGAGAGGAATGACCATGCTGTGTATGTTCGGTTACTGAGCTGATGCCTGCAACTTGAGCTAAATTTACCCACCAATAACGCAAGAAAAGAGAAATGTAAACAGACTCGGGCATTTATCACCCTAGCGGATGCTGTTTTATCGACACCATCAAAGAAAGGATCAAAGCAGTAATAATCATTACAATATAGCATGTGTGTGTTAGAAAATGATATTGAATAATCTAGCCCGAGATGGCCGACTTTGAAATGATGAGCAATTATGTAATTGAATTGTGGGCCAACCTGCGTCGTTCGGTTTAAAGATAATATGTACGTTTATTTAACATGGTGTTAATAGCCTACTTTGTCATTTATCAATAATTGACATTTTATTTAATATTATGCACGCAAATCATCAATATCTGGAAATCTCGTGCCTAGACGTTTGGTTCTTAAATTACTGATGCGATCTATTGACAACACCTATTTTTTTGTTTTTCTTTAGGCTACTTGCATTACGTTGATTTACAACATGGAACATAATAGCCTATTAAACGGCATAACTGCGCGCTTACTACGAGTGACCTATAGGTGATGGTGCAAACATTACAGTTCATATCTAGGCTATATACTGACAAGCTAAAAAGAATCTTAAATATATGCGAGTTATGTAATGTAGGCTACATGTTAGACTAAGAGGTAGGAATTAAATTCATAATACACAACAATGATCTACCAAATCTGAAATACACTTTCAATCAAGAGCATAGCTCAATAGCAGGTTCAATTTATACTTTATGTATCAACAAATTCTTAATTATTAGCCAGGTTTGGGTGAGTCTCAGCTGAAACTCAAAATAGGAAGCATTTCATGTTTCAGAGGAAGGACTTCGTGATGATTTACAGAGGGTGCTATATTTAGATTACAACCATGTTGTGAATTATATTTATCATTTCTCTCTTTGGGAGTCTAAAATACTTGGATAATGCCATGTGTTAGCATTCCCATTCATCTCAATCCTATATTTTATTGAGTTCCAAAAATACAAAACAAAGTTCTCATTGACATTTAACAAATAAACACAAATAAGGTAACTACATAAAAATAAAATTAAATGGAATCACAAACATATTAAAAATGACAGATTTTTTTTTCTTCTTGAAAAGTTAATATATTCAAAATACATGAGCAAATTAGGAATTGAGCTGGAAATGAGAGGAAATGGGGTTTCGAGTTACACTTGCTCTGACAAATATTACATTTTCTTATTAACAAAAAAAAAAACAGATCAGTAATATACTTAGTTTCAAATGTCGACTTCATTTGAGTAAAGTAAAAGTGATGATAGGTTGATTTCTTTTGTTGAGGTTCATTGATTTCTGAACAAAAAATTTACTCTTGTGGATACATTTTCAGTGGAAGTTGTTTACCTGCTGTATTTGGAGACTGCCATCTTTGCTCTGAAAATACTCCTAAAGTCACTTTGCAGGTCTCGCAACACATAATGTTTCCCTCCTGAATAAATCAGTGTTTCTGGAAGAATCAGTTGAATGAATGAAGCAATGACTCATTCATAATGCACAAAAAGACAGTCAATTGACGCCACCTACTGGTAACTATAAGCCTAACTAAAGAAAGGCTCACTAAACTGCAACACTAAAGCACAAATGGACAAAAATACAACTTAATTGTACATTTTGCAGAATGAAAATATAAAAACAAGTGATATTTACCTAATTATTTCTTTATTTTATACACTGTTGTCAGTCAATAGTGCAATATTGAAATGCACCACAGGGGAGCATTTGCACTCCAACTATTTTTTATTTTATTTTTTTACTTTTTATCCTTGTTTATTTTTTTTACTTTGTAAATTGCTATATGTTTGTATCTTTGACACCAACAGGAGCATCTTTCCAAATTTTGTTGTATACAATCACAATAAAGGCTTTCTATTTCCGTTTCGAACAACTTGAAGGGCAAAGCTGGAAATTGTTTATTTATATCTGTGTTGATATATTATCGTAGTTTTAAATATGTAATACGTTTTATGTAATTTAATTTAATTTAAAATGGGTCTAACTTAGGTACAACAATAAAGAAAAAAGTATCGAAGCTTACAAAGGCACTTACAAAGTTTTGTCACACTATAGCACAAAAAGAAAATAATAATATATTAGTTTAAATCAACCCCGCTGGGTAAAAGATGCAAAAATATATATTTCCTCAGAATACACAGCTAACGTTACTTTTGAACGGTCGTCAATGGAGAAAGATGAAGCATAACGGTATAGTTATCAACCAGCAGAGGCTAACAGATCATGGTAATTAAAGATATTACGTATACTGTATTAATTTAATTCACATAATTCATATCTGACGCTTACCAGCCAAACCTTGACCACTTGGTCATACGTCTCCGTCATTTACGTGATGACGTACCTTCCGACGTCTTATGAAACAATGATGGCGACCTCCATCGGCCGTGGCTCGTGACTGTACGACCGTTCACATCAATCAGCAATCCGTGGTTATCGCGTTACATGTAACTCTTGATTGACAAGTTGGTTTCTTCGTATCTGTCGACTTTCTTTCTAGAGGTGAGTTATTGTCTTGTGGCGTTTTTTGTGCATCATGTTGTAGCCGCATGCACTTTCATGCTTTCAGCCAGCATATCTCTCGCAAGGTGACAGACATCATGATCCCAGACACTCTCTCTGAGATTAACATTATAAAAAAAGACATTTCCTTTCATTTAGGAAATATATCACTCTCCAAAGACACTTGCATAACCAGCTATTTGTTTAACAGTTTTAATATGAGCATAGAGTCAACCTGACTACATTAAGAGAACCTCTGGCCAAATGTACAAATTGCTTTGCTTTTGTTTCAGAACATGAATCTGCACAAACTGTCCTCGCGACTGTGCCCAACAGTAAGTGTCATTCACCTGTCATTTATGGTTTTATATTTATTATTCTTAAAGTATATTTAAGTTAAGAACATTTAACAGGATATATCACTCATAATCATTATGTCATTATCAGGTAACACAGAAGTTCAGGCATCTCCACATCCAAAGCAGTGGCCAGCAGCTGGAGGCAGTTGCTGTGGAAACAGAATCAACTGAACCAAATCCGCTGTCAGTCTTCAGAACTTCAGAGCAGAATCCTGTACGTAGGGGTGTGCGATATTGACAAAAAATAATATCTCAATATTTTCTTGATTTTATCGATAACGATCATTAGACGATAATTATTTTGTTGAGTGTGTTATTGTGCTGGTATCTTAAGGACTACCGTGGACAGCTGACTCCGAAAGATTTTTATTTTCTTCATATTCTGTGTGGTGGTCAGTTCACTCTGATAGAAATTAATCTTTTCCAATAAGTTTAAAGTGATTTACCTTTTATTAGCATTTTTGCCTGTATAAAGCCTTTTTTCTAGAAGTGTGCATTATCTTTTGAGTCAAATTCTTACATTGAATCAGTGAATTAGAATATTAAGACATTTGGGCTGTTACCAAGCAAATGAAATCATCTTTGCAATGCAGAGAAAACACAGAAGCTGCATCTGAAGTGGCATTTAGATGTATTTACATACTACTGTTTACTGCAGAACATGAATGCATTTAACCTGCAATTAGAAATGCATAAACAATGTTTTGATATATTAAAGGCACAATATGTAAGTTTTCGCCGCTAGAGGGCTCATAAGTACACAAGTCAGCAAAATATATAACACTGTTCTAGGGGTTTTTGGATATTTTAATAAAAAAATCTTTCATATTGTGCCTTTAAACAAAACGTTGTATACTGATATTTGAAATTATTTAAATGCTATGGCTGTGTTTGGAATTATTTTTGTTGTAGAAATAGAGCAAAAACTGACAATGTGGTGTCTATAACGTAAGTCTCTTAATTAACTTATTGTTTTTTGAACTGTTGTAAAAATAGTACGTTTGTAATCATTTGGAGAAAAAAACGGCACTCTTTGTGCGATATTGATTAACTATATGAGATGATATAAATATATACATTTTCTGTCCCCATATCTTGAATTTTGTGATCATTCTAAATAGGGATGTATAAAAATTTCTTATCACGATTATAGTGACCAAGATGATCACGGTTATCAGACAAATCATTTCACCACGTTTTACATTTAAAATCAACAAACAACAAATAAAATGAGTTTGTTACTTTCGAAATTCGCAATCTTGGTGTCACGTTTTACAAGAAAAGATAATTGTCTGATACACTCGAAGAGCTGCGCAGCTCAAACGAGTCGCGCAATTTCGTTATGCTTTCAGTTTCGTTTGCAGTTTGATGTTTCTCATATGCAACAGAAATGCAGCGCTTATGAGTTAAACAATGCGGTGGTCACACCACGTGCGACCGCACACAAAATTTAGTCGCACGGGCAGAGAAACGGTGATACTAACCGTGGGGAAATTTTATCATGATTTATCGTCAAACCGGTAATCGTTACATCCCTAATTCTAAATGTATTTTAATTGAATCATGCAGTGACAGAACGCACTAGTCTAGACTTCATCATGGGATTATTCAATGCATGTTGATTAACTTTTATCATAGTTTATAGTTATATGAAAACGAAAGTGGTTAACATTCAACCCTTTCTTTTTCATCAGTATTATCTATGATTTAAATTTTGTGAACGGGAGTTCCTCTTTTGCTATGTTATAAGCCGGGCTTCGGGTGCTTTCACTCTCGGGTTACTTTCGAAATTCGCAATCTTGGTGTCACGTTTTACAAGATCGATAATGTCAAATTGCACATCATTAAAACAACAATTACGATATTATCGCAGACGATATATATCACACACCCCTACCTGTACGTCTAAAAAAAAAAAGAAACTGTAGTGTCTTATATAGACATTTATCAGTAGCTTTCAAATATACTTATGCATGAAGCTGACCTTAAAGGGATAAATCACCACTGGCAAGATGTTGTTTTTTTATTTTAATTTTTTATAAATCTTGGTTCTCTATGCAGTATGACCACGAGAAAATCAGTGGTACATGACTAGAGAAAACAAACAAAAAAGGGGTCTGTGGGGTTCCCTTTTTCCAATAAACTTGGGTGTTACATAATGCATTTTTTATTTAATTTTGGCAACACCCTTCTGGGGAAGTTTGATCTGTAGTTTTAACAAAAGCCCTGGAGATGTCAAAAGTCCACTGGTTGATGCAAAATAAAGCGTTTTGCATAATTGAGCAGACTTTCGCTAAAAATAAATTAATTAATAAATTAAATAATTGACATAATAATAATATTTTTTTAAACACTATATTTTTAAGGAATATATAAAAAAAATTTCGTCTGTTTTAATTGTAATTTTTGAATTTAATTGTAATTTCGTCTGTTTAAACTGTAAACCTCTGTTGTGTAGCACATTGTTTGCCAAAAAATGAAAATTGTTTCAATTACATTTGATTACATTTAAAAAATATATAAAAATTTGTCAAAGGTTTATATGCATTTGCATTTGATTACCACAGTTTTTGATAATAAATTTGTAATAAATCATAAAACAGAATCCAGAAAAAATAAAACTGATTCCAAAGGGCCCTATTATGGTTAAGATTGTAGTATTATGAATTCAATTGATTAGACATCCATTTGATTATTCAAATGTAATTAAACCATTAAAAACACAATCCAGAAACGAAAACTGTATTTGGGGAAAAATAAAATGGAAATGGAAAATAAAGCAGATTTTTCTATAAATGTTAGATCGGAGCATCTTATCTTTTTGCTTTGCTTGGTAATTTATGTATTACTTAAATATTTACCTGTTTAACTGCGCCTTGAAACTGCGTGTAAAATATGTTACGGAAATCTTACTACATTCTTATTACATTCAATCCTTCTTGCCCTTTCCTTTCTCAGACGTACCATTCAGAAAGACATACTGGGCAGTACTACACGCTCCCCCCGGCTCACATCCAAAAACTCTTCCCTCATGGACTGCCTCCACGCTTCCAGTTACAGGTTTGGAAACAGTACTGCAGTATGTGTGTGTGTGGAGAACATTAGCATTGATTTAATATAGTCCAAATAGAAATGCCATTGCCATGATTTGTGGTTGAAGTTGCCTGGACGACTAATGCATGTTTGTGCTCTTGTTTCAGATTAAAACGTTTAATGAAGGCTGCGTGATGGTGAGGCCACCGGTGCTGGAGCTTATCTCATATCTTAAAAAGGCTGATTACAGCAAGCCTCCGCTGCGTTATATACTCTGTATCCTCAAACACAAAATTCCAATCCAGTGAGCTGTTTTACTTTGTGCATATTTTTACACACTGATTCCTTGACAATGTGCTTTAGATGGAGATATAGGCACTGGAAAGTCCATGTCTTTGAGTCATGCCCTGCACTACTGTTACACTCAGGGCTGGCTGATCGTGCACATACCCGATGGTGAGCTGCACTGACACTCATTCTATCAAAATGTGAGGTTATATGAAGTTTGGAGTCTGATGATGCTATGATGTTTTCTCTGTAGCTCATCTGTGGGTCAAGAACTGCAAAGAGCTGCTACCATCTTCTTCCCGCCCCTCACGCTTTGACCAGCCAATCCAGGCATCCCAATGGCTGAAGAACTTCAAAATCACCAATGAAGGCTTTTTATCCAAGGTACAACTTGATGTGTTTATTGTATTGTAGGGTTTACGCGAGTTTATGTATGCAAGTAGTAGTTTTTTGTGCGTAAATCACCTTATCACAATGTTTTGCCCATATAAATGAATATTTATTCATTTATTACATTTATTTTTATTGATTTATTTTTTTACAAAATATATTTGCTTAAGTTGTCTAAAAATATTTTAAAATTGTAAAACTGTAGAAATTAAAAATTCACTATATACTCCACTAGCTCCATTTTTGTGTATGTGAGGAGATGTTATTTAATGTTTTTTATTTATCACTTATTGATTATTTTGGTCAATTTTATAATTTATTAAGCTGTTCTGATGTCAATCTGATCAATTGACAGATAAAGACAACACAACAGTATGTGTGGACAAAGAGAGAAAGTACTGAAAAGGGGCAGCCTTTAGGGGTGCTTGTTGATCAGGTGAGTTTTATTCATCATCTTTATCATAGAAAACATTACACTACTCCCCATTACACTACCTCAAAGTGACGCAACAGTCCAGTTCTTTTTCTCCGCAGCCCAGGTAAGACGCCTCTGACGTTGTCTCTGGTTCAGGAGTGGCTTGACACAAGGAATGTGACATTTGTAGCCCATGTCTTGGATTCGTCTGTGCGTAGTGGCTCTTGATGCACTGACGCCAGCCGACACCATGGCTTTCCAATATTGAACTTTTTCACAATATTCAAATTTTCTGAGACACTGAATTTTGGGTTTTCATTATCTGTAAGCCATTATCATCAAAATTTCAAAAAATAAAGTATTGAAATATTTCACTCTATGTGTAATGAATCTATATAATATATGGGTTTCACTTTCTGAAATGAGTGACAAAAAATATTGACCTTTTTCATGATATTCTAATTTTTTTAGATGTACCTGTATATTCTAACTTGCCTAAAGCCTGGCTCACACTGTGCGATTTTGGCCACAATTTGGTTGTCTGAGACAAATTTTGAAAATCCTAAAAGATTACTATAATCCTAGGCTAAATTCTGTTGTCTTTGATCGCTGGTTTGACATGTTCACTGACAGCCGATTAATGGCCGTTGCGATCAAATTTTACCTCCGACAAATTTCTGGCAGTGTCAGAAGATTTGGCGCACAGTGCAGCAGTGTGCTTTCTCCTACGACAAACGTCAAACTGTGTTCATTTATCAAGATAAGCCATAATCAGAATTAATGCTAGACAAGTTTTCTTGCGCGCACCCGTTTTTAGAACTGAGATTCTACAGTCTGACAAGCAAAAATCGTAAAGGACTATTAAAATTTGCACAGTGTGTGCCCGGCTTAACTTCTCATAATAATTTTTGTAGTTTTATTCATCACCTTGTTCTTTTATTTTAGTTTTCAGTATATATAAATTATAATTTTTTTATTTTAATAAATATTGATTGTATTTTTAATCATTTAACTTAAATTGAACAGGGTGTGAATCGCATGAAGAGCAGCAGTGATGTGGTGGGCGCAGTGCTGCGAGAGCTGAGGCTGCAGGCAGGGGGCACCACAGAGGGCGAGGGGGCCTTTAAACTGGCTGTGGCTGTGGATGGAGTAAATGCTCTGTGGGGCAAAACATCTCTTAAAAAGGAGGACAGAACTATGGTATGTTGGTGTAAAGTAGCCAGAATAAATTAATATGAATTCAAAAATATTTTAAATGAAATCATTACATAATTCTAGTACTCTGATCAAATAATTTGTGCATTTGTTTGACATCCTGCTTTCTTTTCCTTTTTATGTAGTGTGAGCCAGAGGAACTGACTTTGATTCATAATCTGAGGAAGATGATGAAAAACAATTGGGTAAAAAAAAAAAAAACTCTTACTTGAAGGAATAGTTCAAATTTGCTAAAAATGTACTCACCCTCAGTCTGCTCAAGATGTAGATGAGTTTTTTCATATTGAAACTGATTTGGAGATATTTAGCATTACATCACTTGCTCACCAATGGATTCTCTGCAGTGAATGGGTGCCGCCAGAATAAGAGTTCATCTGATAAAACAATCCAGTAATCGACACAACTCCAGTACATTAATTTACATCTTGTGAAGAGAAAAGCTGCGTTTGTAATAAACAAATATATCATCAAGACATTTTACCTTGACTGTTGCCTCCGGCAAAAATATGAGTCCTCTATCCATAATATTGCTTTCTTCAGTGAAAAAGTAATCTCATCTGAATCAGGAAAGAAATATGCAGAAGTACAGTTTACCATTTAAATGAAAACAGAATTTGCAAAAGCAAAGTACCATTACACAAAAACAGTCCAAAACAGTTAAAAAAAATTTGAGAAGATAACGGGGAAGGATAAAACTGGATGAAGCATTAATATAAATTTTGGACTGGTATTTTAGCCATAAGCAACAGTTTATGAGGGATTTGTTTCTTACAAACATGCAGCTTTTCACTGCACAAGACATTCATTGATGGACTTGAGTCGTGTGAATTATTGCAGTGTTTTTCTCAGCTGTTTGGACTCATTCTGGCGGCACCCATTCACTGCAGAGGATCCACTGGTGAGCAAGTGATGTAATGCTAAATTTCTCCAAATCTGCAATGAAGAAACAAACGCACCTACATCTTGGATGCCCTGAGGGTGAGTACATTTTCAGCAAATTTGCATTTTGGGGTAAACTATTCCTTTAATATTATAATACAGATTTGAATCCCAGTGAGTTGTTCACTCTCTCTTTACTTCACATTGCTCTCTGTCATAGAGTGGAGGTGCCATTCTCACAGCTTTGTCTCAGACCGGCTCTCTGTTCAAGCCACAGTCTGCTTACCTTCCCAGTGAGCTACTAGGAGAGGTCAGCAGCCCTCACACACAAAACAATCACATCATGTCTGTTTTCATTAAACTACAGAGTAAATGCCTTAAGTTAACTTCATTTTGGTTATTTTATTGTCCTCATTTGTAAGTTGCTTTGGATAAAAGCGTCTGTTAAATGACTAAATGTAAATGTAAAGTTAACAGAGTTTAGTTTTCCTTTTTATATTGACAATAGACTTTGAAGAATTAGCAAAATAAAGAGGCACCTGATATGATCTGTTGTGTGTGTTGTATAGATTTATTAAAAAGGCTCAATATATTTGCACTCTTTCTCTTTCTTACTCTTATTTTGTTTATGTCTTCTGTCTTTCAGGAGGGATTTGATAATATGGAACCTTTTGTGCCAGTTTCTGTGTCCAACTACAATGAGAAGGAGTTTGAGAGCTGTTATCTGTACTATTTAGAGCGCAACTGGCTGCAGCATCCACACAGTAAGTTTGTGCATTTATTTGCCAGAAGTCTGAGCAGTGGCAATCAGCAGTGCTGTGTAAAGAGAATTATGAGGCCATATAAAATGTAGGAAGTTCCTGTTTACAAGTTTACCATTCATACTTATTTAATTTCCATTCAAGTGATTTTGGATCAAATGGAAGCCAGGGGCAAAGAAGGTGCTAGGGTGTCTATGGAAATGTTTAGAGAACAAAATTAATGAAAATTAAATGAATAAAAAATTAATAGGTAAATAACTGAGTAAATACAGTACCATAGAAGTACAGTACTACAAAGAGTAGAAAAATACAGTATAAAAAATACAGAATACAGTTTGTTCTTGAAGGCAGAATAACCTTTCATGCATATGTTACTAGATACCCATTTTTATTATTTATCTTTTACCAACAGGTCGATCTGAAGAAGGAAAGAAAGAGCTTATCTTTCTCAGCAACAAAAACCCGTCCATCCTGGAACGATTGTGTGCCTTCTTGTAATGCACATTTGCTTACTCTTGCGTCTGTATACCATGTGACTTCAATAAAAGTATAAGCATGCAGCTTTTTTTCATAATAAAATCATTTAGAAAAAAACTTGGAAAATGTGTACTGCCTTTTTTTTTAAAGGTATGATTTGATTTTTGAACTGACTTGATAAAACCATTTATCTTTAAAAAACGTTGTTGGATGTCATGTGGTGAATGAGGTGGTCATGTGATCGCAGTCTCACGCGGAACTCAGTCGCACGGTGCGTGGTTGACTGTTGACAGTCCAGAAACTGTATGCCGAAGATTAAACTGGTTCTTTAAAACAACATTTAGAGGACAGTAATGATTATAATATTTCCGTTTTCAAGCGTCGAATAAACGTTAAATACAAATAAGTGTTTGTCTGCTAGGAATAAGTTGTGAGAGCGCGTTTAATATTTGACAGAGCGTTGTTTACATGCAACAAAAATCTCCACAGCATCTCATCGACAGAATGAGAGAAACGCTTCTTTTCATTCTGCTGACTGGAGTAATCACTATAGCAAGAGGTGTGTAATCAGATAAATAATATGGGAGATATGTTGACCTGCTGTTTTATTTGTATCTTTCTGCTTGTTTGTTCATATGTCCAGCTGACGACTGTCAAGCACTGAATTTCGGTCATGGTTCGGTTGTGTGTGTGTGCAATGCGACATACTGCGACTCGGTGAGCAGGACTGGGTTGCCAGATCCCGGTCAGTTCTTGTCATATGTCAGCAGTAAAACTGGCAGCAGACTCGTGAAGAGTCAAGGCCAGTTCCAGAAGAACAGCACAGGTGCAGGTGAGACTGCAACTAATATCAATATGACAAAAATTCTTAATGGGTTAGTTTATCACCCCAAAATGAAAATCTGTCATCATATAGCCTACTCACCCGCATGAGTCATGTCACTGCAAAACCATAAGACTTACAGGTGCATCTCAATAAATCAGAATGACATGGAAAAGTTCATTTATTTCAGTAATTCAACTCAAATTGTGAACCTCGTGTATTAAATAAATTCAATGCACTCAGACTGAAGTAGTTTAAGTCTTTGGTTCTTTTAATTGTGATGATTTTGGCTCACATTTAACAAAAACCCACCAATTCACTATCTCAACAAATTAGAATACTTCATAAGACCAATAAAAAAAACATTTTTAGTGAATTGTTGGCCTTCTGGAAAGTATGTTAATTTACTGTACATGTACTCAATACTTGGTAGGGGCTCCTTTTGCTTTAATTACTGCCTCAATTCGGCGTGGCATGGAGGTGATCAGTTTGTGGCACTGCTGAGGTGGTATGGAAACCAGGTTTCTTTGACAGTGGCCTTCAGCTCATCTGCATTTTTTGGTCTCTTGTTTCTCATTTTCCTCTTGACAATACCCCATAGATTCTCTATGGGGTTCAGGTCTGGTGAGTTTGCTGGCCAGTCAAGCACACCAACACCATGGTCATTTAACCAACTTTTGGTGCTTTTAGCAGTGTGGGCAGGTGCCAAATTCTGCTGGAAAATGAAATCAGCATCTTCAAAAAGCTAGTCAGCAGAAGGAAGCATGAAGTGCTAAAAAATTTCTTGGTAAACGGGTGCAGAGAC